GATTTTCGGATACGGATACGGATTCGGATTCGGATTCGGATTTGTCGGATTCGGATCGAATCGGATTCGGATTTTTCGGATTCGGATCAAATCGGATTTTGCCCAAATCCGATCCGATCCGATCCGTGCGGAACACTAACTACCTGTGATAAATAATCTAATTAATTACTATATAATATTTAAGTTCTATAATAAATATGTAATAAATAATAACTACATGTGATGAATAATCTAATTATTTACATGTGATACTTAATATTTACTTTTAATTCTATTATTTTACTTTTTACTTAAGAATTTCACTTAGTTTTACTATGAATTTACTTCTATTTCTTATAACATTTCCATTTTCTGTAATCTATTGTTACTGTTTATTATACTTCTTCCATAATCTGTTATTACTATTATTACTATTTATTGTATTTTTTATTATAATATTATATGTTATCTTTATGCTATATAAGTTTTTATGTAATTCATTTTATCATTCTCAACTATTATACTCTTTATGTAACCTTTCTGCATATTTGTTACTTCTTTAATTATTAGTTTAAGTTTTTCTATAAGATTCTCTGTTCAGTTCATTAATTATTTGACTTCTTGATCTCTATTCAGTTTTTTAATTATCTTTCTCTTTCAATAATTAATTTATTCAAATTATTTTCTTTTGCATCTTATATAATCTTTCTTTTTAATTTGTAATTTATTTGTATATTTTTCTTATTTTAATAAAATAATTATTTCTTCTTTTATCACATAATTTTTCTTGTGACTTTTGTTGTATCTTTATTAATTCTTATTATATGTATTGCTAAATTATGAAATTATTGACTTTATAATATAATAGATCTGGCTTTATTATTTTTATTAATAAAAAATATAAAATACATTTTTAATATAAAACTAATATAAAGTTTATATAAATTATAAAAAAATAACTAAAAAAGTTGGTAAGGTTAATTAGTAAAAAAAAATTTAGAATAAGATAAGATTATATATAAAAATTATTTTTTATCTAGTAACTTATCTTATTAATAGATGGAATCTTACATTAAAGATTTGATTTTTATTTATCATTTTTTTTATAAGTTTAATTTAAATTTAATATTAATTTAAAAATTTTTTTTTAAAATTTTATATATTTTTATTATAAAATACTTATAATAAGAAATTTGATTTTAAAATATAAATAATATTTTTAATTATAATTTATTATTTTAATCTATATTTAAATTAATCATTATCTTTACTCTTGAATAAATTTTTATTTATATAAAATTATAAATTTATTGTAAAAAAATATAAATAATTATTTTAAAATAAAGAAAAAAATTTTGAATTATAGATTAAGAAAAAAATTTATTTAAATTAAGTAATAAATAAAAATCTAAAAATAAAATAAAAAATAATATATTATATATTATTTTAATATATAAATATTTATTTTAATAAATATATTAAAAGAAAATTCTTAAAAATAAATTTATAATATTAAGTAATTATAATTATAATTGGATCATAATATATTTAATATATCAATATATTATATAAAAAAACTTGACATACTAATAAAATTTTATTTTTTTACTATATTTAAGATTATGTAAACATTAATATAATTAATATAATAATACTTTTTCAAATTTTCATATTAAGATCTACTAATTATTATATAAAATTTAATTGTAATTATAACTAAATATAACTTATAAAAAATATAAACTTAATTACAATTTTTATAAATAATTATTTAAATAATTCTAATTATATTTTAATTATAATTAATACAAATTTTAATTAAAAATATATTTTTTAATTTATTGGATAAAATTTAATTATAATAAAAAGCAGATTTTTTTTTATTTATTTATTATTTTATTAATTATATTTATATAAAATTTTCTTTGTTTTTTCATAAGCACCTAAAAATATATATCCACCTATACTCATCCAAATAACTCTTGGTCCAATACCAGAAAATAAAAGTTTAACTCCTTCTTCATGTAAAATTCTATTAAATGTATTAATTGTACCAGAATAATTATGTATTGTTTGATGCTATAAAAAACAAATTTAAAAGTTTAGAATAAATTATAAAATTTTGATAATTTAAAAAATTTAAAAGAATAAAAAAGTATTACATTAGATGATAACATTATACGTGTTTTAATAACATCTAATGGAGTAGTAATTGCAGCTGCAGAACCACCAGCTATACTCCCACAAATTGCTGCTTCCCATGGTTCAATATGATTTCTTTTTGTATTTTTTGCTACTATAATTTTTAAATATTCATAAAATGGAAATTGAAAACAAGCAAAAGGTACCTATAATTTAAAAATGTAAAATTATTTTACTTATTTTTTTAAGATAAAGTTGTTTTAATATTTAATTTACCTCTCGAATTACGGTATTAAAATATCCACGATAAAATCCAATAAATCCTTCTTGTTTAAAAATAATTTTTAATGCTGAAGAAGTTGAAGTATATTGTTTTGTTTGCATACGTTGCTTAACTACTTCAGTTGGAACTCTTACAATACATGCTGCCTTTAAATTTATATATAATAAAAATTATAATATAAACTATTTATACTATTTATAAAATTAAAAAAATAGTATACTTGCAACTTCACCACTTGATGCAGAAATCATATGAATAAATGATAAATATTTAGTATCAGGAAATATATTTCCTAATTTATTCTTCATATACTCATATGTAACAAAAAATACTGATGCTTTAAATTTTTTTAAAATTATTTAAAATATTAATATTAATAATAAAATAAATAAATAATAAAATATGAAATATTAACCTCCTGGAGCACTACCAATTATAGCACTTGTTAATCCAGAATAAATTCCACGAAATCCTCCTGAAGCTTTAAATCCTGATTTAGATTGTAATCTAGTTTTAATTGTATCTAAAGGATATAAAATCGTATCCACTGCCGTTCCTGCTATTCCACCCGCCTAATGTAAATATAAAAGAAAAGAATAGTTATATATAATTTCAATGAAAAATAAATAGTTCAAAATTCTTTTCTATATTTACCAAAAGTGCTTGTTTCATGTGAATCCCTTTTACATTTTCCATATTATATGTGAAGAAAGTGTCAAAAAATTTTTATTAAAAAAAAAATTCAAATTTATTGAGCGATCATTAACTACTTTATTCCTGAAAGTACCGAAAAGGGAACTGATTTTCTTTGATAAAAAAAAAATTTGATTTGAATTATCATATCGACTCTTCAAGTGATTTTGAATATAATGGCATATAGATTACCATTTACTAAATTATTACATCATCCTACAAGAAATCTATTAATTCTCATATTTGGTTCACATTTTCATGCATTAGATACAAGGTAATTTTACACATTTATTCTCTTTTCTTTTTACACCTTTTTATTTTTTTAAAAAATTGTTATTAACATAATTATAGCACAGGTGCATTGATATCAACAACTCGAACATTAGTTTCCTCTTCTTCCCCTGATAATGATAATACCAACACATTCATTAGCAATTTCGAACTTGATTCGATACAGCCAAAGTATACGATTCCTTCTACTGACATTCATCAAGCTACAATAAGAACATTAGCATTTCATGTGAATATATCCTCTTTGAACCCATCGGCATTATTGGCTACAAGTGATGAGAATAAAATATTAAAAGTCTGGGACTGCGATAAATGGATATTAAAAAGTTCAAGGTAATTGCAAATTTCTTAGATATCAGATTATATTATCATTTTTCCAAATATTTATTTCTTTATTATTTTGTAGACCCGTGCCTAAACGTGTTATGGCTATCTCTTTTAATAAAGATGGATCACAGATTGTGACGGCAGATAAATTTGGTGATGTATATAGTCACCCATTAGATCCGCCTGATGATAAACACAATGTTTCAACTTTGCTATTAGGACACGTATCAATGGTCACTGATATGGTAAATATCATATAAAGTTCTTTTATTATGTAAGAATTTGAATAATAAATCATTCTTTAATTTTAATTTGCAAATAAGGTCATAACACCAAATAATAAATATGTTATCACGTGTGATCGCGATGAACATATACGTATAAGTAAATTTCCAAAAGGATATAACATTGAATCTTATTGCCTTGGTCATAATCAGTAAGTACGTTCTTCAAATATCGTAAAAGGTCCATCTAATTCAACACAACTTAAGAGCTATTTCTGTGCATATTATATTAGGTTCGTATCTAAAATACATATATTGCCATGGGCAATGGATTTGTTAGTATCAGCTGGTGGTGATGATTTTATAGCATTGTGGGATTATGTTTCCGGAAGATTATTACAAACCGTTAATATTAAAGAAATTATTGAAGAAAAGGTAATGATAATAATAATATATATATATATGTATTTTACAATTTTTCTTTGAAAGTCATGCTTATAAGTATTTATTATATAAGAAAAGTGATGATAATAAGGAAGCAATGGATTTGGACCCTGAAGATTCACTAGAAATTGCTGTCACATCCATTACAAGTAGCCCAATATCACATCATATAGCTCTAACGATTGAAAAGTAAGAATTTTGTAAATTAAATATAAAATGCAAATCCATTTATTTAATAAAGAAACTTTCTATTAAAATAGATTTCCTGGAATTATAATATTTAATTGGAATGAAACAGAAAAGAAAATTCAATATGTCCAAACATTAACATTATCAATTGATCCATTAGATTTAGCTTATGATATTGGCGGTAATCTATGGGTTTCGAATTTTATAAAGGAAAAACAAAATAATGGAAGTTTAATAACTGTATTTAAGAAAAGTGGAAATGAGGTATAAATATATTTTTTTAATTTTTCATACTTAAGCTGATCTAAATTTGATAAGAGAATCTAACTTAAAATTTTTTGTAAGTATGAGGAAGTTTCAAAAGATCATTCATTAGTTGAACAGATTAATAAATATGGAACGATGACAGGTAAATAAGCTTATTTTGAGTAATTTTCTTTTAATATCTTTTCTAACTTCTCGTCATTTTATAAAGTTGAAAACCTTCCTGATTTATATACTACAAATCAATTACGCAAAAATCCAGTTGATTGGAAGGAACAAAAAAACGAACGAGACGTTATACAAAGTGAAGGCGAGAATTATGCAACCACAAGTAGTATAACTTCATTTAAACAAAAGAAACAAGAAACAAAAGAAAATAAAAAGAGAGTAAAGTTAGAATAAATTTTATTCTTTCAATAATTATGAAAGATATAGCTTACTTTATTATTTATATTTTACATCTGTTTGCCATCATCTTCATATTCTAAAAGTGTAAAGTTAGAGAGAATGAAACATATAGTTAACATAAAACATGCCTTGCAAATCAATATTGAAATAGGTAGCAAAAATAAGCAAGAGAAAATGCTGAAGAATAGAAGACATGTATAGTAAATCTTGATATAACAAACTCTAGGGTTTAAATCTCAACTTCATTATAAGCTTATAATGAATTTTTTAAAGAATTTAATTGGCTGGTTTACTATAATAAGATATATTTAATATATTTGATTTAAAAATTCGCTATATTAAGGGTATTCTTATCAAAGTTTGATTGTATCACACATAATAATGAATGAAAATATGTAAAGTTGGCAATAAAAACAAATAAATAATGTGAAAAACATCTTAGTTACTATCATAAATAAAAAATACCTGAAGAATATTCAAATACAATAAATCATAACTTGAATTTGCATCATTAACAATAGAAGTAAAAGTCTCAAGAAAGTTATGCAGATTACACAAATATATATAATGAACTACTTCTCAAATCACTTCCTATTGATATACTTAATGAATCTTGTTACCCTTGAAATTAGATCTGCAAAATTGATTTACAAATGATCTATAATCAATTAAATTAGTATTATTAAAATTGATTATTAAATTAATGTATAAATTAAGTAATGAAATGATTGATATAAATTGATTACCTAAATTAATAGTAAAATTGATTTACAAAAAAAAAAACTCTCTCTTACGACTTCCCAGTTACTTAAAAAAGATCGACAAAGAAAACAAAATGCCTGTTACTAGAGCTACCTCTGCCAACAAACAACACAAACGAACACAACAAATTAACAAAAGACCAAACTACAACAACGCTGAGGCTTCTGGTTCTAAAAATATAAATACAACTGAAAACACTTCTCTCAAAAAACAAAAAATTACCACCATTTCAAACGAACAAACTGACAATATCCCAGTGCAAAATATCGTTAATAATCAAACTCCTGAAACTGTTATCCCAACACCTGTAGAAACCTTACAAACTTTAGAAGATACTGAAACTTACAAACCAGCCGACATGGAAGTTGACCCAACTGTCAATCCAACTGAACAACTTACTCCTATTTTAACAGTACTTACTTCCAATGATTCTATACACGCTAAAGTCAATACTCACGACATGTTCAAAGACACAGGATTTGATTACGAACTTCCTGGAAAAGAAAAAAAAAGCTAAACACTCTTGGAATGACGAAATTTCTGAAAACGAATCACGTGAACAAGAAAATCAAGGAGCTACCTACAATATTATTACTGCTCCTACGTGTTTTTACATGACTGATAACATGTCCAATATAAAAGGCAATTCTATTGCAGAAAAACGTACAAATATCAACTCATTATTCATCTGCTATAATGGCTATCAAAGATCCAACTATATTTCTAAAATGAGAAAATTCTTTGTCTACTTTCATACGATGGACGAACTCCTACATGCAATCAAGGATACTCAAGAATCACAACATAATCCAATCTTCACAGTTATAGACCCAGCCCAAAAGCAGATCAAACAAGATGCTGAAAAAGGAAGGACTCTAAAGATCTCTGATATCCCTTTGTTTGTTAAATCTGATGTGTTACAAAACTACTTTGCTAAATATGGCAAGATTACTCATTTCTCTATAATCATTCGTGGTCCTTGACAAATTGCCTTTATTGTTTTTGAAAATGCCGAAATTATCAAACCCTTTTATGATAAGCATTGGTCTATCCAATTCCTAGAAAATGCCTTACGTATTGAACCAACTGATTTAGACCCTATGCAAATTTCGCTGCGCTAACAATTCGAATTAAAATTAACAGACCTTCCTCTCAATACTAATCAATTGCAATTGCAGGACTTTCTCGCACATATCAAAGCTAAATTCTGCTTCATCCCCAGAGATCAATAATATTGTCTTCGCCCTTATGCTTTCATCAATTTTGCTTCTCTTGACGACCTAGATGCTGCAGCGGCGCAGTCACAACAATTTAAGGGAAAACCGCTATTCTGGATAGACCCTTCAACTAAACACTGTCGCAGCTGTGATGCGCCTGAACATGAATTTAAAGAATGCATAAACTGAAAACCTGCCAACCCATACAAACTATTGTATGATCATTTCAAACTTGAACTACACCGACCACCACGTACTTTCAACAAAAACAATCCTAATAACCCATCATTTGCAAACATCACCAATAACCAAAAACAACCCATCATCAAGGACCCTCCCAAGACACCGCAAAACGTATTTGACGCTCTCAAATTGGTACAAGAATGACTTGATTCTTTTGATATCAGACTCCTTGCAATCGATGATGAAATTAAGGCTATCAAATCTGACCTTACGACCCATGCTGATGATTTAAATGATGTCAGTTTCCATCTGAACCGGCTTGAAGTTATGCACAATATTGAATATGACTCAAATTACATTACTGATCCAAACTATGAGTTTCCATCGCATGATGATTTTCTAATGCCCATTGTTGAACAAACTCCTGAATTACAATTTTCACAAACGAATACCTCCAACCAAATTTAAAATAACTCTTCATCATTTCAAACTGAAAATTTACAACGTATAGGTCTAGTAGAATAATCCGTCAATGAGATTAAGAACGAAATGCATAATTTAATTTCCATTATTACTCCTATTCTTCAAACATCAACGAATTTTATTTAATGATAGTACAAAATACGATTAATACTAATGATGTCCAAAAGTATCAATTTAATAAGAATAGATTTACAAACGATAATTTTCAAAT